GGCTGTTTTTCCTTCAGCTATGAAAGGTTTACTCGTCTCACAGGTGTCCAAAGGACAACAATAGCATGTTTTCTTAAGAAGGGAAAAAAGCTAGAATCTCTCACAAAAACCATGGCAGGATATTCACAAAGTCCAACTGTGCTCCAAAGTGTTAGAGGGCAAATGGAAAAACAAGAGGATATTTCAGTGTTGCCATGTGTTAAAATGCACACCCTGAACTTCCACAAGAGGAGAACCTTTAAAGTCAACTTGTGCCATCCAGTTTGTAGAAGGCTGCCAACAAATATCCCTAGCCTAACCACAGAAAAGATAAAGAAGTGTCATGTGTAGCTTTTGGCATGGAATACTATTCTCCTTCTTAATAAGTCATGAAAATACAGGCAACCAGATGCAAACCTCTTTCTGTTTCATGAGAACTATTTATACGGGATCAAATTGACAACAGAACCTTGAAGGTTAAAGAGGACTTAGGAGACAGTGAGTTTCTATTACTGGGAACAACTCAGAAGCAACTTAAAGAATCAATGTCACAGAACTTACTTGTAGAAATTGCCAATTCATTGCATGCCCTACTGTGAAGATTCTCAATAATACAAAAATCTGTCAACAAAGAAACCAAAATTCTTTTCTTTTTCTGACACATGCTACAACAAAGATGAACCTTGAAAACAACACAGAGTAACAGACGCCATTCATGAAAGAAAAAATATTATATGATCTCACCTATGAGAAATAACTATTGGCTACTAAGGAAACTCTGGGGGCCTAGTGGTAAAAAGTTGCACTGCAATCCTGAAGGCACATGGTTTGAATCCACCAATTGCTCTCCTGGAGAAGGAGGGACAGTCTCCTCCTGTGCCAGTCAGATCCAATTTGATGGTACATAACAAGAAAGAAAAGGGGGGGAGGGGCAGAAATACCTATTGATTACTAATGGCATTTAGGGCAGATGGGCAGGAGAGGGCAAGGCAGACAGTGCTTAGGGCTAAGGGTGAAGGGTTGGAGTATTTGCGAACCACCAGCAGTGATGGTTGAGCTCAATCAGTATGATCAACATCCCTGAATGTACATGTAAAGTCTGCTGAAATGGCAAAGAATTTATCCCCAAAGTCCAGAGCTCCGTTGGCCTACTGGCAAGAATCTGCACAGTAATCCCCAAGACACACAGTTCAAGTCTACTAGCTGCTCCAAGGAAAAAATTGGCAATCTCCTTCATGCAAGTAACTGCTTCTGAAAACCTGCTGGAGGGCAGCTATGGGTCAGTTCTGACTCAATGGTACACAACAACTAAGTCCAACAATAAAAAAATAATATGTGAAAAGACAAAAAGCTTACCTTTTTCTTTGACCCATGCCTTTCCCAAGGCTCCTTGAGAACACAACTTATTCCCTTAGACAGAGTCTGACAGAAGCAGTCATTCTCTGCAGCACCCAAAAGATGGCCTGAGAGCAGGAAGACCAAAGCCCACAGGAAGGTGAGTTTTCCTGCCAGCTACTGTGATTTGGTACTAACTATTTAACTTTTCAAAACCTCAGTTTCTTAATTCGTAAAGTCCACAGGGCTATTTTAAAGGTTAAATAATAAACAAAATCCTTGGAATGGTGTCTAGAATATATGTTGTTGTTATGTTCCGTTGAGTTGTCTGCAACTCATACCAGCCCTATGTATAACAGCCCTAAACCCTGCTCTATCTCATGCCAAACTTACTGTCTCTGACACACCTATACCCTTAGCCCCAGTCAATGAATCAATCCGTCTCATTCAAGGTCTTCCTCTCCTGCACTTTCCCTCCACCCTCCCAAGCATGACATCCCTCTCTAAGGACTGATCCGGCCTTGCAAAATGTCCAAAGTATGTCAAACGAAGCTTCAGAATCCTTGCCTAAAAGGAGCAGCCTGGCTCCACCCTCTCTAGGACAGACTTGTTTGTTCTTCTAGCAGTCCATGATATATTCAATACTCTTCTCCAGTACCACAGCTCAAAGGCATCAAACCTCCTTCTATCATCCCTAGTCATTGTCCAGCATTCTGTTGTATAGCAAGTAATTGCAAAGACCATGGCCTGCATCAGGTACACCTTAGTCTCCAGACTGACATCACTGCTCTTCAGTACTTTGGAGAGGACTCTGACAGCAGACTTTTCCCCAATGCAATTAGTCTTTTAATTTCCTGGCTGCTGGTACCAAGAGTGTTGATTGTAGAGCTAAGCAAACTGAAGCTGTCAACAATCTCAACCTCTTCACCATCTATCATGATGCTGCCAGTCAGCCCAGTGATGACAATCTTCGTTTTCTTGATGTTGAGCTTCAATCCATATTGAAGGCTGGAATCCTTGACCTTCTGCAGCAAGTGCTTCAGGTCCTGGTGAAAATCTTTGTTTTCTTGATGTTGAGCTTCAATCCATATTGAAGGCTGGAATCCTTGACCTTCTGCAGCAAATGCTTCAGGTCGTCCTCAATTTCAGCAAGCAGGGTTGTGTCATCACATAACCCAGATTGTTGATGAGTCTACCTCCAATCCTAATGCCACGTTTCTCCTCACAGAACCCAGCCTCCCAGATAATCTTTTCCACATATAGATTGAAAAAATATGGAAATAGGACACATCCTTGCCGCACATCTTTACCAATTTTGAACTATGCAATATTTTCTTGCTCTATTCTGACGAATGCCTCCTGGTCCAACTATAGGTTTCACATAAGCACAATCAAATGTTCAGGGATTCCCACTGTTCTCAGAGTCAGCCACAGTTTGTTGTGATCTACACAGTTAAATGCCTTTGCATAGTCAAGGAAACACAGACATTCCTTTGGTACTCTCTGCTTTCAGCCAAGATCCATCTGGCATTAGCTATAATATCCCTAGTGCCATGGCCTCTTCTGTAGGTAGGGTTTAAAAAGTGCTCACAATTATTATTACTCACTTGTTATTGTTGTTCTTAAGTTCTGCGGACTCGAGATGACTCATAGTGACCCTAGGAACAAAAGACCTGAACACTTGTATAACTTTCACTGTTACTCCAAGTTCATAAAGTTTCCAGAGGCAAGCTACTTCTGAAGTGGATGCCACGCCTGCTTCCAAGCTTGTTTTAATCGGGGAGCTCCACCAAACACTGTCCAGCATGGGTAACCATTATCACATTTGACACATCAGTGTCACAGTGGTTAGCATCACAGCAACTACGAGCTACCTCTGTACAGCAAATGGATACCCCAGTGCTATACCACTTAGAAGAATGTTTGACCAAAAACTACTAAAACCAGGCCTGAGGGCCACAGATTAAAATCACCCACCTTTGGCTTGGTAACATAACTTTCTATCCACGAGGCCCACAGAGCTCTCTCTATGTTGTTGTTAAGTGTCATTGAGTGGATGAAATTCAAGAATAGGTTTCACATAAGCACAATCAAATGTTCTGGGATTTCCATTCCCCTCAGAGTCAGCCACAGTTTGTTGTGATCCACACAGTCAGATGCCTTTGCACAGTCAATAAAATACAGATAGACACTCCTCTGAAACTCTCTGCTTTCAGCCAAGATCCATCTAACAATAGCTATAATATCCCTAGTTCCATGGCCTATTCTAAATCCAGCCTGCACATCTGGCAGTTCTCTGTTGATGTGCTGTTCCAGTCATTTTTGGATAATTTCTAGCAGAATCTTGCTTACATGTGATATTAATGATATTGTTTGATAATTTCCACACTCTGTAAGGTAACCTTTCTTTGGAATGGGAAAAAAATATAGATCCCTTCCAGTCAGTTGGCCAGGACATTTGATTGTGCTTATGCAAAACCTATACTTGGATCAGGAGGCCATCATCAGAACAGAGCAAGGAAATACTGCATGGTTCAAAATCGTAAAGGGTATATGCCAGGGATGTGTCCTACCTCCATACCTTTTCAATCTATTTATAGAATTGATTATCCAGGAGGTTCATCTCTAGGATGAGGAGTGTGGTATAAGGACTGGAGAAAGACTCATCAACCACCTTCATTAGGCAGATGACACATGCTTGCTTGCTGAAACTGAGAAGGACCTGAAGGACTTGCTGTAGAAGGTCAAGGACTATAGCCTTCAATATGGATTGAAGCTCAACATCAAGAAAACAAGTATTCTCACCAGTGGGCCAATCGGCAGCATTATGATAGAGAGTAAAGAGATTGAGATTGTTAACAGCTTTAATTTGGTTGACTCCACAATCAATATTCTTGGTACCAGGAGCCAGGAAGTCAAAAGATGAATTGCATTAGAAAGTTCAATGTCAGGGACCTTTCCAAAGTGCTGAAGAGCAATGATGTCTGTGTGGAGATGAAGGTGTGTCTGATCCAGGCCACAGTCTTTGAAATTAATTGCTATGCATCAGAAAGCTGGACAATGACTAGGAATGATGGAAAGAGAATCGATGCCATCTGATATACTTTGGGGATGTTGTAAGGATGGACCAGTCCTTGGAAAGAGACATAATGCTTGAGATGGACTGATTCAGTGACTGGAGTGAGAAGGGTAGGTGTGTCAAAGACAATAAAGTTGGCACAGAATACAGCAGGTTTCAGGGCTATTGTAGATAAGGTCGGTCGCTATGAGTCGCAAGCTACTCAACAGCACATAACAACAACAGTGGATGAAACCTTTCTATCTCATGAATCACACACCTCTCTAACACATACTCCAGCAGAGCAGGGCTTCTCAGCCAAGGCACCGCTGTTGTTCAGCTAGCATTGGGGAAGGAGCTGTCTTAAGCACTATAAGGTGGTTAACAGCAGCCCCAGCCTCTGCCCACCAGTAGTCAGTAACACTCCTCATCTCTAGTGTGGCAACCAAAAAGGTCTCAGGATTACTGTCAGTTATGAGGAAGTGAATGTTTAGCAGCTGAGCCTCCTTTCTTCTATTAAGAACCATTGCTGCACTGGAATATAGCAGTCACTCACAGAGAGTTCTAGTCACCTTATCTAATCTTCCGCTCTCTCCACATGTAAGCACCTCTGCCCTCTTTTGCTTACCACTCAGCTGCCTCGGAGGGAACAGATGATAAGTGCTGTAGATATCATTGGAGAATTGTAGTTGGAGCTCAGGGCTGCCCGACAGAAGCTGGGCCATCTGCTCCACCTGAAACGGTGTCTTCTCCAAGATCACAACAGCATCCTCTCCATTCATTTCTCCCGGAGCCTCATTCACCTATCGGTAGAGACAGAACGCTGGTGAAGCCTGGAGAGCAGAGGCAGAAGATTCCAGGGCCTGTGAAACCCCAATTCTAGAGATAACCCTCCTCCAAGTTTTCTCAAAAGCATGCATACTTTTTCTCCCAGAGAAGGCACTGCAAAAACCCAGTCCCCAGAGAAACTCTCACACCAAGGGGTAGACTACCTAATAAGAAAGGTAAGCACAGGTTCATTCGTACTTACTGAATGACCTGTAGTGAGAAATTTCAACATATCTTTTAAGAAGTGAAACCCAAGGACACGGGCCAGAGTACTAGGTAAGAACAAGTAAGCCTGTGCTTATCTTATTTGTTTGGTCCTATCCCTGTCGCCAACTGTTAACCTGAAAACAGGCTTTGATTCTACAGGAAGGTGCTAAGAAGTTGGGAGAGAGGCAGACAGCAGCCATACCTACAGTGAGAATCTTTGATGTAGTGGAAAAATGTGAAACTGTTCATTGCAGATTAGTTAGCAAGCATAATTAAATCACTTTCCTTCCTTATGGGATAATCCAACACTGCTCATGCTTTTCTTCTAAAAGATGCACAGCATCTCAGGTTGTCTTGTTTTAGGCTTACAAGGCCTCTGCCAAGTATATTCCATTTTACAGAGGAAAAAACTGAGTGTTCCAGAGATGAAGCGACTTGCCCAAAGACAAATTAGCAATGATGACAGAGAAGCTGGACTGTAGGTCTCCCCAAGCATGAAGGTTTTCATGGCAGGTTATTTATCAGCTACTGCAGACCGAAGACAGGTTAAGGTTGGAAGAAACAACCAGAACCTTACCAATAAGCAGAACACACGGAAGCCTCAGCCCAGCCCCACTCTTAGAGCTCTTCCTGGGCTCTGGGCAACCCTGACACCTGACATTGTCACTGTCCAGTTTCTTTTTTACTCCTGCTCCACAGCTAAGTACATGGTACTGGATGAAGCCAGACAGGTATGCACATCTACCAGGGACAGCCCACACTCCTGCAGACAGACGGTGACTTCTCACCAGCATACCTTTGTGTCTGTCTGTCCATGCATGGCACAAGGAGCTGAGGGCTGTTAGTTGCTGCTGGGTGGGCCTCAGCTCGCAGAAACCCCACTACTCACACTGTCAACAATACTGTTAGAGCTGTGCCATGATCAGCTGCTGATGGGGGATATCCAGGAGAATGCCAGACCTTTCTTCCTGGTCTGGGTGTGGAAAGTAGGCTGAAATCTATTCAGCAACAAAGCAACACATGCAAGCCTCCAAGCTGATCGGTAGTGGCTGCAAATAAGATATACTAGCTAGGAACCAAACCTAGATTTCCCACAATCAAGGCAAGAATTCTAAACTACTACTGCCCAGCACATCGTTAGGAATTCCGAACTTAATAAACCAACTCCTTCCTTAAGGGCGAAAGCCGGAAAAGCCCAAAACTTTAATCTCCCAGTTGGTATATTAATCCAAGGCCGGGGACTAGACAGACAGTCCAGTAGTATTACTGGATTCCTACTCTTAGTGGCAGTACTTAGAACACTCAACTCGGATGGTTCAAAACCACGAGGGTGTAGTGGGAAGAAGAATGCTGTGGAGAAAATTAGTTGTAAAAAGATCACAGTACAGGAAACCCCAAGGGCACTTCTATTGTTTCAAGGGCGCCATGAACTGGACTCCGGAGTGCGCTTAGTTTCAGAGCTTTTCAAAAACCTGCACTTTACAAGTGTTAGCTATTTTCTAGTGAAGGCGGATTTATGGACATTAGACTGAGGCGTTCTGATTCCCTTGCTTGATTGACCTTTCCCATAGCCTCCACCCCTTCAAGCCAGCAGTGCTGCACCCTGTCCCCCCGAAGTGTCGCTGTACGTTCCAGGAGACTTGGGACGACGGGTCTCTCCGTCCCTTGCAAAGACGCCCAGCCACCTGCAATGTCACCGGTACTTTCTTACCGACAGGTGAAGAGGAGGGGAGCCAAAGGAAGGCCCTCCCAGAGATGATGGGTTCGCCCCGCCCCTCCAGCCGCGCGCGCGCAGTAGTACCTTCCCGTGTAGGAAAAGGATTTTGTCCCGCGCAGACTCCTTCAGCACTTTTTGCACTCTAAAGCCGGAGAACGGTAAGCGGGCAGCGGCAGAGTTACCAGTGCTCACACCTGCTTCTTGTTCTTCCGTGCTAGGAGTTTCTATCTTGTCCGCATTCTCATTACGCTTTCTCTTGAGAGGCTGAACAGACAGAGCCGCCATGCTCCTGCAGAGCCGTGTGCGCCTGCGCAGAGAGAGCCCCTCGCCATCCAATTCCCGCTCCACTCCCCCCATCCCGCTCGGCCCCGCCCCAGACCGTCGGTTCCGCCCTGAGCTCGACCCCGCCCCTCTGGGGGGCTTTATTTTCTGTCTCTGAAAAGCCCTTGGGGAATCAGTTATGAGGTGTTTTAACTTGAAAGGCACATAACAACAGCAGCGAACTGGTAGTACCATAAATTTGACTTGGATTCAGAAGAGGGCATGGAATAAGGACTATCATTGCTTATGTCAAATGGATTTCGGTTTACCCGAAAGATGTTTGCGTCTTATTGGCAATGCAAAGCCAATAAATTGTGAATAACAAGTGCAAAGAATGAGAAGTCCAGAACATTTAATTTGTGCACATGCGGAACCTGTACATAGAATGAGCAGTTTTTAAAAAAGAACAAGAGATTACAATCATAAAAGGTAGACGTCAGGGTTGCATCCTTTCACCTTATCCATTCAGCCTTTATGCTATGTAAATAATCTGTGAGACTGGACTATTTGGAAGATACAGTATCAGAATTGGCACAAGATTCATTAACAGCCTGTAATATGCAGATGACACAACCTTGTTTACAAAAAATAAAGGTCTGAAATAATACCAATTTGAAAGAGCCATCAAAGCATCAACCTTTTCTTCTTAGAGACCCTTTGTTAATTAGAGACCAAACAAGGATTCCCCATTGTCGCCACTCAATGCAGTATTGGAAAACCTACCTAGAACAATAAGCAATAAAAGGAAATAAGATATTGTCAAAGAGAAATTAAAACTGCAGATTTTTTGATAATATACAGAGAAAATCCCAAAGATTCAAAAAGAAAATTCCAGCAAGGAGACAAGGTGTAAGATCACTATTCAAAAATCAGTTGGCTTTGTCTACAGTAAAAGTTGGTGCTTGGTTGTGTTTTGTTGTTTTGTGTGTTTGTTTGTTTGTTTTCCATTCAAACCTTTTATTCTGTTATTGTTGGTGCATGAGGAAAACTGCTTTTCCCATAATTCATGGTGCCCTAGACTTCTGACTAACTTATTTGGTCAGCTGGGAACACCACCAAGCCATATTCTTCTTAGGTTTAGTCAGTTGTTAAGTGTTACCTACTTAATTGATGCTTTCTTTCATACAACCTTTAACAAGAACTCATACGTTGCATTGATTATGCCCCAAGAGATGAGGGACTGGTGATAATGCAGATGGGTACCTCTGAAAAGATTTGCCAACTTCCTGTCCTGTTCTAGCCAGATGTTTTTGAAAACCCTGGGGAAAGACTGAAATTTCCCACCAATCTGAGACTGCATGCAAGTCTTTACAACATTAATTGGAAAAAACAAGAATCTCAACATGACACTCAGGAGGCCTCCACAGATGAAATCATTGACCAGATGCACACTGTGAGACTTTGCAGTAGGCCCCAAGCCAGGGCATTGTCCGACCCATTGCAGAAAAGAATGGGCACCAAGTCTCAATAATATTCTAATCCCATGGCATTTTAGTGCCTTGAAAGCCTGATAAGTGTTTGTAAATTGTTCATGATGCTTGTGGTCTTGAAGCAAAGTCTGAACTCTTTCCTGTGCAGTGGGAATGGCCTCTGTCATCCTGTAAGCTCTGTGGCCAGGCTATAAATCGCAAACTCTGGGGTAGTGATGTATTTGTGGAGAAGGGAATATAAATCCTCACATAGACCAAACATAAGTGCTAGTTTGGTTGTCTTCTGCATTAATGGGGGAAGAATTCCTCGATACAAGTTTCGGAATCCATTGCTCCTCAAATAAAATATTGCATCCCTGGTTTTGATGTCATAGAGCTGTTGTCAAAAAAGGACCTTCTGAATGAGAAATGTGACCACTATGTTGTTGAAAGCTGCACGGCAGCCACAGAGGTAATGTTTCGTTTGACCAACATTTGAAATGTGAGACGATAGTATCCTGTTTTGAAGGTGTCAGGATGTGCGGCCTCTTTTCATGAACTTCTGAACCCAACATGGTGCTTAAGATCTTTCTTCTTTGTGAGAGATTTTTACTTGGTATTTGAGGGATGGTAGATTTCTGTTAAGTTTCGCAATTTTTTCTTTGTTACTGACTAGGTCCTCTCTTCTTGGAATCAATTTTGGTAACTGGATTTCTTGTTTGTTCTCCTGGCAGTCAACGGTATGTTCATCATTCTTCTCCAGCACGACTCAAAGGCATCAATCCCTCTTCTATAATCCCTATTTATTGTTCAACTCTCTGATGCATACTCTGCCTTTTTTATTTTCAGAAGTAATATTTTCTCATTTGAGTCAAAGTTTACAAATCATAAGCATTTTCATCCCATCAGATATTTTGTTTTAGAACATTACAATTAATGAATTACAGTCTCATGAAAACCCTTTCACTTCACCCAACTTGAATTTACTTTTGGCTCCACTCTTCCTAATTCCTGTTAACCCTCCCAAGACTGAATTAGTGTAAACCTTTCCTTAACTTTTTGCATTAGTAGTCTCATATTATAATTGGCCTTTTGTGACTGGTTTACATTACTTAACATAGTTTGTTCTAGATTTATCCATGTTGTACAGCATTTCACAAATTTATAATCATTTTTTAGTTTATCAACTTTCTAAGGAAGCACCAAACTGTTCTTCATAGTGGTTGCACCATTTTGCATTTCCACTAGCAGTGCATGAGAGTTCCAATCTCTTCACACCCTTGCCACCATTTGTTGTTTGAAGTCTTACTAACTACTACATTTTTTGCTGGGGTGAAATGGTATCATGTTTTGATTTGCATATAACAGCTAATGATCTTGAGCATTTCCTCATGTATTTGTTGGTCAAATGAGTAGTTTCTTTGGTGAAGTGTCTTTTCATGGCCTCTGGAATCAAGAAGGAGTTAAGTTCCTTCTGAGAGCAATTGGTGCCTTTGACCAGCGTGGCAGCAGCTGAGGTGGTGAATGAGAACTGACCAGAAACTATCACGATAGTAGAACCAATAGGATTTACATATGCAATATACTTTCATCTGTAAGATCCCGTTATAGGAACTGATTCTCAACTAGCTACATCTTTTGCTGACAATTGCTGAAATGATTTCAATCTCTATGAAAGTAGAATCTACTCTTTATATTTGCATATCCCCGCTGCACTAGGTACAGTGCTTTACAAATCATTTCTCTGAACTGATGCAGAGACTTTAATTACACTGAACTTCTTGTTTCAATTCCAACATCAGATTAATTATAATGAATGTGCCAACCACTAACAACTTTGAGTTTTCAATTATTACAGAATTTCTGGCAGAAGATGCTTACGAGACACACAGGGACATGGAAGATATAAAACTATTTGGAATAGAATGCTCTTTTAAATAAACATGGTAATCAAGCTATAAAACAACCTTTCTAAATCAACCAACTAATGCACAGCCATGTTTATCGTGGCTTTGTTCATAATAGCAAGGGGTTGGAAACAACCTAAGTGCCCATCAATGAATGGATAGAGAAGCTGTGGTATATTAACACAATGGAATACTATGCTGCATTGAAAAACAAGGAACTCATGCAATAATTATTAAAAATGGGTGACCCTGGAGGACATTATGCTGAGTGAAGTATCTCAGTCACAAAAGGACAAATACTGTGTGGTGCCACTGTTGTAAAGCAGGACTGACCTCAGGCTTGGGAGGAGACTGAGAAAGACGGGTTCAATAGTGTATACTGCATTGAAGCAGATGAGGGAGAAAACTGTTTAAGAGGAAACATTATTAGCTATTTTTGTCATGACAGGAGTCTAGAGCGAAGGCTGTATAGTGGAGTGGACATGGCCGGGGAGGGGGGGTTAGAGGATTGTAAAACAAAGAAAAAATTTTTCTTTTACTTTTCCAAGAGGGTAGTGTACTAGGGGGAAGGTTGGGATGTGAGAAAAGTGCAACAATGAATGAATGGAAATTAAATAAATAAATAAAATCTTGTGCTACTACAAAAAAGAAAAATCTGCCAACTAGGTAACATTTAAAAATGCTTTCTCAAAATTAATACATTTCAGTAAGGGCATGTAGCTACAGCTTTTAAACTCTTAGAGGCAGTTTCAGGGTTACAAAGAGCATAGTATCATGAGTGTGTCTTTATATCCTGTCTTAAATGTAAATATAAGAAATACCAACTAAAAATATTATTAGACTCTCAAACTCAAGAAGATTCTGTTTGTGAATATTTCTACTACTTAGGGACCTCTCCAAAGTACTGAAGACCAATGGTGTCTCTCTGGAGAGTAAGGTGCGTCTGATACAGGCTATGGTCTTCGCAATCACTTGTTATGCATCAGAGAGTTGGACAATGACCAAGGAGGATAGAAGGAGAATTGATGCCTTTGAGCTGTGGTGCTGGAGAAGAGTATTGAGAATACCATGGACTGCTAGGAAAACAAACAGATTTGTCCTGGAAAGGGTTAAACCAGGTGGCTCCTTGGAGGCAAGGATTCTGAGGCTCCGTCTAACATACTTTGGACATGTTGTGAGGAGAGACCGGTCCTTGGAGAAGGACATCATGCTTGGGAGGGTGGAGGGACAGCGCAGGGGGGAAGGGCCTCTATGAGGTGGATTGATTCAGTGACTGGGATAATTGGGATGGGAGTGTCAGAGACGGTGCGATTGGCACAGGACAGAGCAGAGTTTAGGGTTGTTGTACATAGGGTCGCTATGAGTCGCAAGCGACTCTACGGCACATAACAACAACAACAACTAGCTCAACTTGTTTCTAAAACCTGAGGAACTTTAAAACACACCACCTGCACTCAGCCCCAACCAATTAAGTCAGAATCTCTATTGGGACAATCTTTCTTTCTCTTTTTGAAGCTTCCCCAGCAGTTCTAATATTGGGGTTGGGAACCACTGCTCAAACAGAATCTCTTATTTAGAAAAAATATATAAGGAATAAAATATAGCAGAGGAAAATGCAATGATATGGAGAATCAGTTAAAACAAATCA